GAGCTGAATTTGGGTCCTCTTGACTAGATTTTCCGCATTTCGTCAGATGGTACCTAAAGCTTCGCGCCGTGGTGGTAGTGAACGGACATTGCTGACACGTGTAGCTTGAAGATGAAATCATGTCATTGGATGCTCCTTTAGAATTATTGGCCTCAAAATTTATAGACTCCATATCTGCAGGGCCAAGTTCATGAGGTGAATTCGGGTCCTCTTGACTAGATTTTCCGCATTTCGTCAGATGGTACCTTAATCTTCGCGCCGTAGGGGCAGTGAACGGACATTGCTGACACGTGTAATGGAACATAGTTGCAGCCTTTGGATTACCATCCCCCTTGGTAGTAGTTTTCGGATTGGGCTCACTATTTAAGAATACATTAGTCGAGTCTGTATCTGAAATGGATTTTGAAGAAGATGTGATATTTACTAGGGAAGGTTTAAATGAAGGCTTTAATACGGTTTTGGAAGTTGTTTTAGTCAAAATGGCAGGTTTAAATAAAGTCTCCAACGTGGGTTCAGAATATGTTGTAGCAAAAATGGGAGGGTTAAATTTAGTCTCGAACGTGGGTTCAGAAGCTATGGCAGCTGAAATGGGGGGTTTGAGTGTCGTCTCCAGCATGGGTTCAGAAGTTGTGGTAGTCAAAATAGGAGGTTTAAATGTAGTCTCCACCATGGGTTCAGAAGTTGTGGTAGCCAGAATGGGAGGTTTAAATGTAGTCTCCAACATGGGTTCAGAAGCTATGGCAGCCGAAATTGGGGGTTTCAATATAGCTTTCAGCATGGGTTTAGAATTTGTGGTAGTCAAAATGAGAGGTTTAAATGTATTCTCCAACATGGGTTCAGAAACTGTCGTAGCAGAAATGGGAGTTTTAAATACAGTTGCAATCCTTGGTGCTAAAGATGTGGTGGCCGAAATGTTAGGTTTAAGTGTAGACTCCAACATGGGTTTGGAAGATGTAGCTGAAATTGGAGCTCTAAATGTAGTCTCAAACTGGGTTTTAGAAGATGCAGTAGCTACAATGGAAGGATTGAATGTGGTTTTGAACATGGGTTTAGAAGATTTAGCATGGGTGGAAGGTTCAAAATTTGGGTCGGAAGACATTACAATACTANGGTTGACAAGGATCTTTTGTCATCAACCTGAAGGAAAAATAGTGATTTTTCCGAGGATTTTGGATAGAGGTTTTGAGAGGAATGAGAAATTGATGATAGAGGTTTTTGGTTTGCATCCAGGCAGTGAGGTGTAGAAATATGGTGATCAGTTGAAACTCTATCAAAATGTTCCTTGCTGGGAGAGAACTTGATTTGCAAATATTCTTTGTGTGATGTTACAGTTGGGGTTACTTGATACCAATTTTGGGCACTGTTTTCCATCTGGAAGATAACGTGTAGTAATTAATATGCAGCTCAGTTCATCAATGATCAGAACCTGCCACATTAGGATTTGTATTGTTAGTAATTTCTGGAGGGGAAATATCAAAGGAATATGATGACAATTTCTCTCAATATTATTTTGTAATTTGTCATCAATCATTGATGCATGTTTGCAGAAAAATTGTCAGAGAATATTTCACTATATCAAAAATTACTTTATGTGAATCTATACTTAATAAAATTCAATTTATGAAAATCTTGACTTATAAAGATCAATTGACAGAAAATTAGAGAATGAATAGAAAAATTCATTAAAATATACTCAGAAAATAATATCATAAAGACCAGTGCCATTTTTTTAAAGCAAGTCTTGCTTAGAGAAAGTATTTATAGTTAATAGTGGGAGAATGATACTTCAAATTATCTTATTTCCTGACACATATATATCCATAATTCAGAAGAGCGTATATATATTTGTAATTCATAACAGGGCCATGCTGCAGTGCCATTGGCAGCACACACTCATATGATTCTCAGTTGTTAGCAATTACCATGAAAGCTACCTGAATGCAAACAGTGCTAGAAAAACAGTTAAATGAAATTATATATTATTGTGAATATTCAACAGGATTTAATATGCAAATTAATTTCACTTCCAAATATGCATGGGAGTCAGCACTTAAAAAGCCTAATGCACTAAGCAATCATTGTGTGTATTCTACCAAGCCATGGAAGCCTCAGTCATAGGCAAGTACAATTTTGTTCCTATTAAAGTACCGCAAAATGGGGTTACTTTGACCGGTGGGGTAACTTTGACCACTTTTCGTTTTTTTAACAAAATCCCCAAAACTCAAAAACGATTTGACATAGAAAAATTTTGTCAATGGCCATCAAAGGCCTAATACTGAGGCTACGTAACACAATAGGAGATTTAAAAAGTTTGCATATCTAATAGGTTAAAAAATTAATAATGTGACCCACAAAAAAGAGCTATTATTTAAAGCCTGTAGGAGTACCCGCTCCAATTTTTTCATTTTTTGGTAAAATAACTCCAGATTTTGATGCATTGTAGTAGAACTCTTCTAGTTACATATGCGGAAGACAAATTTTAGGAAAGTGTCATAGTTTGCAAATGGGGGGCGCCGCCCTCCAATGGAGGAACTTTGACCACCTGATGGCAGCCAAACAGACTAGACGAAGCTATGCAGGAGCATATGTTCAGTCTTAAAATGCCTAGCAAATTACGGACCAGGCAATAAGTCCAGCAGCTATCTCAATCAATCGTCAGTTATGGAAAGATTGGGTTCCAAAGGCGGATCCCTTGTGAAACAAGTCACGAAAAATTCAAGAATCGGCAACAGGACATGGGCCTATTTCTTCAGTGTCGATACTTCTATTCTATTACGAAACAAAGCAACTCTCCCTAATGATCACCGTTCAAATGATCTTATCGAATCCCGACATCATTAGCATCATTCGTCAGACCTCAAGATAAACTGCTGTCACTTCGTCAAGACGACTGCTGTCATTTGTCAGCTCGCTGCACTTGTACCAACACGCCTGAGGCTCGTAAAATGAAGGTCGCTCTGCAAAGACGGAGCTGAGCACGTCAAACCTTTTGCTTTACTTTTACCAGCAATTTTACAATGGAAGAAATTCATGTATTCGTGTGTAGTAGTAAATTAGTAAATTGGTACAATTTAGTAAAAAAGAAAAACCCTGACATTAACTACACGTCGCATTTTTAGTCGTAAATCTAGTAAATGGATACAATTTAATGAAAAATAAAAAAAAACTGACATTAATTGTACGTCGTATTTGCCACAGACGCTTCGGCTGGAGCGCCCGTTTTTTACGATAAGAATGAAATATTCGGTGAGAGTTAGAGCTGAAATTTCGTGGTCAAATGATTCTCTCCAGGATAATATTTCTTACAAGGAATTTAAAAGCAAAGAAAACACCAAGCAAATTCACCATATCGATATTGAAAACGTTTCGGAGTCCAGCTCCATCATCAGTTCGAAAAACTAAAAATGAATAAAATCATATTATCGGATAAAAATTCTAAGACAGACATAAAACCTAAACAAGACCAAACATTATATCGAAAAAACAGGACTCGATTGGAACAACTTAGTCCTAGGGTTCACGAAAAGAATATAAGAGCCTAGCGATTCACTATTTCCAGATTATATGAACTAAACGCATTATTGAGACACGGTTTTCGTTTGAAGATATGTAGAGACTCCAATATTCTCAAATCCGAGCAGCCAGAAGTGGAACCGAGTATCTTGAAATCACTCTCAGTTACAGCCATGTCGCACTGTTCAGCATGGAGGCGCACGGAAGAATGAGGAGGCTTGGAGAGAGGCAAGTTAGAACGGTAGATCCTGCCACGATGTTCAGGAACCCGGATGTAGAAGTTACGCGACGTCATTCCAACGTACGTAGATGCACAGCGTGCACAACAGAACTCATAGACCAGGTTTGATCGCATCCGAGCAGGAATAACTTACAATATTTCTTACACATTATTTTTTCAATACATTTAATTTAGGAAATGTTATTTTAGTTATTGTCAGACAAACAATTTAGGCGAGTTCTTGCATCAGATGTGAATATAATGTAATTTTACTCAACTTGATAGTGGAAGCTTTGATATTTTCTTACTGCTTTAACCAGCCATTGTTGACCGCATAGAATTATGGGCTGAGGCCGCAAATGATGGCCACTAATTCGTCACCGTATACAAATTTTCTAATATAATGCAGCTCGTTTAACACTTGAGTTCAGTAAAGGAGTTATTCTTTTACCCATTGTCTTTGCAGTTTTCTGAATGAGGAAGGTTAAATAACTCTTACCTATGACCCTGCAACATTAATCACTTCAATAATTATTGCCGATGCATTTATAAATAATCTGTGGCTTTTCTTACAACGAAAAGTTGAGTACAGAGCACCCTAACTGTATTGTAACCGAACAATTAAATTTAGGTAATAAAAATTAATTAAATAATCATTGAGTTAATTCATTTCAATTATTTTCGACACGGTACATACCATTCGCCTATAATAAAAATAAATAAATAATGAATGCAATTCACCACGACAAAAACAGAGATATTAATTGATGATGAGAATATGTATAATGAATTGTCATAGATATTTTTAGATAATATATATTTATTCATAGATATTCTCATTTGTACTGTACTAAGTACTGAATTTACAGCCACATTGAGGTTTATAAGTAAATAATTGAGTTCTAAAAAAATTGTTTTTAGAGAATCAATCATCAAAAGAATATTAAGTTATATTCTAAAACCAAAGTTTCATAATAAAATGAACAGAGAGCATTCTGCCTTTAAAATTTAACTTTGCATACTTAGAGGCAACAAAATTGATGATGCTTAGGCACGCATGTATGAACAGTCCATCATTAATAACAGCCTCTGAATACATTTCTTAACACCTGTCCTAACAAATGCAAAGCCTATAACATGGCCACCACATCTCCACAATGCATCAGGACCAAGACGCATTTGCCTTCCTACGCACGACCTGCCGTCGCACCGCTGCTCCGACCTGCCATTGCACCGCTGCTCCGACCTGCCGTCGCACCGCTGCTCACGCACCGCTGCTCCGACCTGCCATCGCACCGCTGCTCCGACCTGCCACCGCACCGCTGCTCCGACCTGCCATCGCACCGCTGCTCCGACCTGCCATCGCACCACTGCTCCGACCTGCCATCGCACCGCTACCACGACCACAGCCAAAAGATGACGCGAGCTCTGATGCTTCTCATCGTAGCCGCCGCTGCCTCGTCCGCGGCGTAAGTACTTCGCTTCTACACCAAATCAACGATGTGATATTGCCAAGATCTGTGAATATGATTATTATTTTTGTATAGGTCATTATTTTTATGTTCTATTTGATTGAAATTAACGATTTGAATGGATGACCAATGTCTAGAGTAATAGAGAACGAATTTTCTGCTCCAATATAACGCAAACTAATCATTCGAAAATATTTCATCCACTTTCCTTCATTACTTCGTAACTCCTGAATGTCTGAACCTTGACGCAGGCAACGTTAACAGTGAATTTTTTATTTGCTAAACGAGAAAATTGTCCTAACGAAAAAATTCGGAATTGTAGAGCTGCATTCAGGGCGTTCTTTGAAGTATCATATCATTTTTTTATTGAATTTTCAAACACTGAACCTATTTCTAAGGATAAGGCTTCTGTTGATTTTTTTTACACAGAATGGTTATTTTTGTAATTTTTACAGAGGTTCATCACCTTGCAATGAGGCGCTCTGGTCGGCATATAACAAGCTCGCTGGTCTAGAAACTTGCATTCTGCAGCACAAATTGGACGTGGACAAGTATGTTTCAAGTGAGTACACAAATAGAGTTATTTTGAATCAGTTTATTCCTGCTGGCTGTTAATCTAATTCTAAACCCAAATAGGTCGACTGAGGGTCTAAACACAGCAACTAATATATTTCTCTAAAATGCAGAAGAAGAAAACCACCTTGTATGCATGCGTGGGAGTTCGTTGCGTCTTATCATCAATATCTACATCTTGATGATTAATCTATTTTTTTTGTAAACGCATTTCATAACATATAACTTTTCCTTAGGCATATTTTCTTAATATGTTAAGCATTTTGAGCGAGCCTATATGAGTAAAAATTGTTTCAAGAATTCATCGACAAATGAGCATTCAAAACAGTTTCCTTAATTCGCCATGTGCGCTTGTTAACAAAATTAACAAGTTTAATTTTCTCGGCTTGAAATCTTAGTTTCCTAAACGATCAGCCACAAAATTTCACTCTATAAATTTCACAATTTCCACGATTTTAGTATTTTTTAATTTTAAATTTGTTGATGATATGTGTTTGACAGATTTGCCTTGAAAGACTTTAGCTCACTGTAGATTGTTTAACTTAGCTTCCATCATTGGTTACATTTATATGCCATGAATACCAACCTCTGACAATTTTTCTCCCCAACAGATGTACAATGTTACAAACTTCCGCAAGATGCAGCAACATGTGATCCACTAATATACAATTACTACAAGTGCGCGTGGAAATCTAACGGAGTCGTGAGTATTTCAGTATATTGGCACAATGAGTGCAGTACATAGTGCAGTTACTTGGGCATATGCAAAAACATCAACGATTTCGCGTATCCGCTCGTCTGGATCCAATATGCATTTCTACTGTGCGTTCTATTCCGCGTTTCGTCTGCTTAATTGAAAAATGTAGCGTTTCTTAAGCATTGTCAGTGAACTGAAATGAGATATTAAATACATAATTTATTATATAGAACAAAAATATTGCCAGAACATGTTTCTTGTTTGCATGACGAATAATAATGTTTCAAATTATCCAGATCTAGGGAGTGCGGAAGTCCAAATCTCTAAATTTTCATTGCGATAGATATTTATTCCTTGTTCTTTTTCTGAAAATAATTTTATGCTACTAGTTATTAACAAGCCCTTATTTCTTCACCAGCTGAAGCCTGACAACACAGTGGACGATGTGGCCTTCCAAAAGATTTTGTTGCAAAACAAATGCAGCAAAGACACCAACTTCGCAAAGGCTTACCCGACATGCAAGAGCTCCACCATGAAATATCTGAACGTGAGTCCTGAAAAATATGTGTTTATTCTCCAAGCCAACTCATGCAACATATTTTTGTTATACTCGATAAACACAATGTTAAAAATATTAAAAATACATATAATAAGAGATAATTCATGCAGTGAAATAGATTACGGTTCATGAAGATGTATTCAGCTTAAAAAGTACATGACTCATAACGTGTATTCTATTTGGCAGGCGATGCAATTCATCCTGTGTCTCGATAAAGCCGTGCCCTAAGCAGCTCACTCAATGGAGGAAAACCTACTGACGCAGAACAAGACTGACTGAACTCGCCTTCACTTTTTCTGGATTTTCACGGGATTTTTTTAGTGCACGGGACTTTCTTATTTCTTTATTAAATTTGGGGTGTTTCTACAACAATAAATTTATTATCCTGATAACGAAAAGTTATGCGAAGATCATCAATGCAAAATATTTTCTAGACAGTTCATATAGATACTTGCACTAGGCTATTCAGACAGCTTATTTAGATAGGTGCAAAGACGAAATTTGAACTATGTCAACCTACATCTCCACCAGAGGTCCGGATGCGAGTAGTACTAGCGCCCCAATGAGCACGCTCAGCGGTTACCATCGACGCAGAACCCGACCTCCCTTAAGTTCAGCCTTAAGGGAGGTGTCTCCCCAAGGCCCTTCACATGCACTCTTCAACCATTTCATCGCTTACTGTTCAATTCCGTAATTTAAAGTTGCATCACATTGACGAACTCATAAGTCCAGCAGCTATCTCAATCAATCGTCAGTTATGGAAAGATCGGGTTCCAAAGGCCGGATCCCTTGTGAATCAAGTCACGAAAAGTTCAAAAATCGACAACAGGCCATGGGCCTATGTCTTCAACGCCGACACTTCTATTCTATTCTATAATCTTAGGTAAGTGAGGAAGGCACCATGCCTTCCAGTTCTTACAGGGGTAGGCAAAACTGATTCACGGCCAGGAGATGCCCACCCACATCGCCGAAACTGCTTGGATCAACAAGGTCATGGCTGCCTCGTTCCTTAACGCTCAGTAGTGACTTGGCTCCGTTGTGGCTAAGTCAGTTCTCTGTCATCTTAGACATTTAAGGTTGGATGAACTCATAGCGCTGCCTGCATTGAGTGCGAGGACCTCCTCCACGCCATGCAGAACTTCTTTGCTTTCCCTTCCCATCCCACTACCCTCAGCATCTCCTCTCTGGGATAGTCCCGTGTAAGCGTAACTTTCTGGGCCTTCCTCTCTGCCTTCGCCCATATCCTTCCTTTTTCCATGAACTTCCGCAAGCAAAGGAACATTGACGCAAGAAACAGAGACAACATTAATCTGCTTCCGGCTCATAACCTAAGTTTTTCTGATGCAAACTGTCTTTAGAAGCACCATAAATCGAAACATTAGCCAATTTGTTGAGAAATTTAATGCAATATAAAATGTATAAACAATTGATTTCTCCTATCATCGGGATTGATTTGGACAAACAAATCTAAAAACGACCAAAATACAGGGAGGTTTTTGTTGGTGGCTTAATTTTTTGAGTTACATTGAGACTGAGGCTGGAACTTAGCGAAAACATAACAAAAGACTGTACAAGAAATGACTTATTTACGAGTCAGCTAGAAATTTATTCACTTTAAAACAACCAAAAGTCCGTTATAATTTCACGAGTATAGTATCAGTTAAGCCGTTTCTAAAATAGATTTAGTATTTATAACTTTTTAAATTCAACTCGAAAGTTCTCCAAAATCCTAGAAATTTATTCATTTTAGAGCGAAAAAAGTCAGTCATAATTTCACGAGTATCAGTTCAGCCTTTTCTTAATAAATAGAATTAGCATTGATAACTTTTTAAATTAAGAAAACGTGAAATATTTTCTCTTTTTTTTACGTGTTTCACAAACTCTGAAACAGTGCATACGTCGAGTCAGCTGCACTCCATAGTGAAGTCAGGGCCGTACTATCAAATATAGCTAAGAGTTCGTAACTCCGTCAGCCAATCGCTGACGGCTTTTCAAGCTAAACCAACCAATCACAGACGTGAAATAGAACGCTACGTGTATATAAGTGAATTTTGATTGTGCGGCTCCTGTCCTCCATTGCGCGATATATGATTGATATATGAAGTATAATATGAAATATATATGTCTGAAATATGCTTTCATATGAAATATAATAAGGGTTCTCAGATACAAGGCCGCCGCTGAGACGTAGTTGGATTAGGGAATGACTAGAAGTTACTCTCGGAAAAATTAATGGGTTATAAATTCAGTAATGTGACATACTATTCTGCCCACAGCACGAGTAGTGAAAGCGGACGTTCCCACAGATCCAGCTATTGCGGGACCAAACTGTCAGGATGACCCACACATGGCAACAAGTGCGTCATTATTTGGAATAAGTTCCACTCCTTCCTCTGAGTGTATTCTTTATCCTTCTTCTTAGCGCATTTTCTCATCTATGAAAAAAATGCCTTATTGTACTCATCATGTCCGTCTGTCTGTCCGTTCGTGACTTCACGTTTTCGTCGACGAGAAAATGCGCTCTCTGTCATCACTGCAGTGAGTACTGAGTTATATTTTACCACGTTTTTCTTAGCTCGCTTTCGTGTTCGTCTGTCTGTCTGTTTGTGATGAGCAAATCTTGCAATCGATATTTCACAAACTTTCCCGCTATCTAGCGCTCTGAAACTTTTAGGGAAGCTCAGCTCCCGATGACAATACAATAATCAATAATTTGTTGCCTGTTTCCCAGGCGTATTTATTCAATGAAATGTCGACCGAGAAATTGTGGACGCAGCTGCCGCGGTGACGCGGTGCGCCGCTGTTGTGATGGCGAGCAAAGCCTGGCTTAAATACAAAACCATTTCAGGACCCGCTTGCCTAACTAATATTACTATCACTTAGCGCCGTTCATTCATTGCTTCTTTTATCGTATTCTAATGTCTTTCATTACCGAACCTTTCTTTATTACAGCCACGCACCCAGATAAATACGGGAACAACAATGTATCCCCTCGAATACAATTTTCTACAGAACTTCGAAAAGAATTTTCTTTCGTGCATTTGCCTGGCCAACTGAAATAAAATGAATATTATGTAGGACGGCTGACCATTGTGCAGTAGTTATAAACTCTAAAGGAACTCACAAGCAGGGGTTGGGAACCTTCATATGCACGTCATCCTCGAGAGGATATTCGTGTTTAGACTGCGTATATCGATGATACGCTGCGTATCATCGATACGTACGTCAAGTCAAATAAATTGGCTCGCAACAACGTTTTTCATGTGTAGCAACGGACTAAAAAGGAGAAAATAAAATACTCAAAAAAAAAACTTTGCAAAAAACCACGTTTTTCTTGTGGACTAAAAAGTAGAAAATAAATTATGGCTTGCCCCAAAAAACGTGGGTCGGGCTGTACGTTCACTATCAAATTTCCAAAATTCGTGTGTTGTGTGCTTTCTGCTTTAATCATAAATCTGCCCGACACACGTTTTTGGGGCGAGCCATAATTTATTTTCTACTTTTTAGTCCACAAGAAAAACGTGGTTTTTAAAAAAAAAGTTTTTTTTTAAGTATTTTATTTTCCATATTGCGGCTCCAGTTTTGAAGCAAGACGCCTTAGAAAAGATCAGGAGCGAGTAAAAGATTGACGTGTTCATGAACAAGAATTGACTGATTCTTCTCATTGATAATTGATTCTACGTGGCTGGTATCAATTATTTTTGCAATATTCCATATTAAAATTTATTTCAAAGAAAATTATCGTTTTTAGCGAGATTCTTATTTCACTTTCTCTTAGCCTAACAGCATAACTATGATCTGATCAGAACTGGCGTAAAAAAATTCAATGACACCAACCGTGCCGATGGTAACAGCATAGAATTTGTCTGCGAGAAAACATGAGAACAAAAGCAAATGAAGTTTTGGGTCTGAAGCTCTTAGATAAATGATTGAGACTTTGATCAAATTGTGATACGCTTTTTGGCCTTGTGTGTCTCATTGTGAGATCTGACCCTGTTTAACACTTCATTAGTGCGGTCAGTGCTGCGTCCGATCTCTGCTCCTGCTGTGGATAAGAAAGTGCGTCAATATTTTGACAATAGGACTTTCTTTTTTTAAGGATGCGGATTCTGATGTTCTGAGGATGTGAAACATGGACTGAAAATTTCAGGCTTTGATTAATACGTAGAACAATAAAATCAGCATTTTTAGGATAAATCCCGCCTCAAGAAATGTATGCATTTCTACCCATAGTTTGAGGATGTAGAGGGTAACATTTACTAGCATGTTTGCACAGGATAACACTGGGCAATATTGCGATCGAACACATTTATTGGACAATAGTAGCAATGCTTGCACACAAAAAAGACTCAAGCTATAATTGTTTTTATTTAAAGGTAAATTTTAGCACTCCTTGATACCACTTACAGCTTATGAAATTGTAAATCCTAATACTGATGTATTCTTCAATATATTGCTGACACCATTCAGTATTGATTTATTAATATGTTCCTAACTTTTATGTAGGAGCAATTGCAAGGAAAACATAAGAAAATATTTCACAGTTTGCGAGCCCAAAACTTGCCCACCCGAGATTCTAGGGTGATGGTAGGTATGCCAATCAACTTCATATGGAAGAACAACAAGTATTATAAACAAAAATTATATAACGTTGTGACTTTTCATATGGTCTTGATGCTCGTGTTTTAAAATCACATAAAGTGCAAACGAAGTTCGTTACCAATGCAAGGTTCTCTTTACCACACGTATCAAGATGAGGAACCATAATGTGCACCCAAGGAGAGTAAAATTGACATCTCGGACAAGGGTCCATATATCGAGGCCTAAAGTTATTGTTAGAAAAAGTCGGTGGCTTGAACTCTGAACGGCCAAATTCAGGAGGCAAATTCGGGCATTTCATATGATGGTGCCTCAAACGTACCAGTGCCGTAGCATGGAATGGACAGTATTTACACCTGTAGCTTAACATAGAAGTCCTGTTATTTGATATTCTCTTGGCATTCTTGGCTTCGAAATTTCTAGGCTTAATCCGCGTAGGGCCAAGTTTATGATGCAAATTTGGGCATTTCGTCAGATGGTACTTCAAGCTTCGCGCCGTGGTGGTAGTGAATGGACATTGCTGACACGTGTAGCCTGATGATGAAATCATGTCATTTATTCCTCCATTAGAATTATTGGCCTCGAAATTTATAGACTTGATCATAGACTTGATCTCTGTAGGGTCAAGTTCAAGAGCTGAATTCGGGTCGTGTTGACTAGATTATCCGGGTCGCCTGCCGAAGACCACCACTGCCCTGGATGTAATGGACCATCACGATTCCTGCCTTCCGGAACGTAGCCTTCAACACTTCAAGCCTTCCGTATCTAGGCCGTGGGTCGAACCAGCCCTCGTCGAACGGCCACTTGTCGAAGGAC